CTCGATTTCAGATTAGTCGGTTCCCCTATGAATCCGGAAACCGGAAAGTCCCTGTACCAAAAAAAAAAAACAAGGTGATTAATTATAGTAGTATATGATTTTGTTAATTAATTTGTAATAAATAATTAACTCTATCATTTTGTAACTTGACGCATAATTAATGGTTGTCGTTGGACTGTGTAATGATTAGTGAAGAAAGTGTTTGCACTTTGGAGGAAGCTTAATTATTGGGTTTTGAAGAAGAAATGATGATCTGTTGTAAGAGAATATATATAATTAGCTAGTTAAGAATTAATTAATTAATTAGAACTAGTTTGTGATTGGTCCCCGCCTGGGGATTGAAGCTAATAATATCGTGGGAAAGCTTTTTTGGGGTTACAACTTAGAAGAGCTTGTGATATTATAATAATAATAATACCCGTGTATTACACGGGTGCTTGCTAATTTTTTTTCTTAAAATCTAAAATTAATGAGAAAAAGTAGTTTGAAAATTTAAATACTTTTTATAAGAATATATATATTATTATGACACTTTTTATTTGTGCAACTTACTTGTGTTATATTATACTAATTTTTTTTTAACTTACAATATATAACTAATTACATATAAATATATCAATTGAAAAATAATTTTTTTTTCTAATGAATTTCAATAAATATTATTATTTTTTATTATTATAAAGATAAATATAATTTATTTATTTCATATATATACAATATGGATGTCAAATCGAAGATCATCAAAAGATGATTAATTTGATATATTATATATGTAAAACCGATAAGAAATACAAAAGTTATCAACTTTTAAAATGCATTTATAATTCAATAGCTTATTGAAGGAAACAAATCAAAATTCAGGGATATATTAGTCACTTAGTGCCTCACTATGTAAAATTATAAAGAATTAAAGGGTTATATTAGTAAAAGTGATATTAAAATACCTAAATTAACTAAATAATATTTATGGAATACCCGAACCTATAATATATCAATATTATTTATCCAAACCTAATTACGAAGCATGATTCTTCGCCAAATAGGATTCCGAAGCACCAGAAGCAGCCACGTAGGCTCAGCGCATTCTGTAATTATATATAGGGAGGATAATAATAATTATAATAATAATGGATTGTGACGGTTTCGGAGTATGGAAAATTTGCCATTTAGGTAAAATTTATGAGGTAAAATTTAATGTTATGCTAAAAATTATATATATATATGTATGTATTTTTTTTTTTAAATACCCAAGATGAAAAAATGTACTCTATTAGAATATAATACCATTTGTCATTTGTTCCACATTATTTATACATGAAAAATAGACGTAACTTATAAGTCTAGTGGACTACTCTTTCTTCCACCAATTGGTTTTGGGATGAAACCTCACTTGGGCTTCATCTGGACTTTCCCTGTCATGGTGCGCTTCATATGCGTGGGACTGCACCCGTTCACTGGCGGATCCAACCTAGTTGGTTGGGGTCACAGGCCCCTAACAAATTGAAGATGCTAAAGAACAATACTGAAGATGGTTAAGAACAATTCATGTCAGAAGAGGGCCAAGATGGTGAATTGGGGGAAAGGATTAGGACCATAGTATCGTGGACCCCCATTACATAAATGTCCTGGATCCGCCGTTGCACCCGTTCTACCCCAAATCTTTACATGATATCAGAACTGGTTCTACGTGGGACCGTACGATGACGTACCCGTTCACCAACCCAATTGGGCTTAGGGTTCGTATGAAGGACTTACAAGTTGGGGTTCGTATGAATGACTCACATTGAGGGGGCGTATACGTGGGACAGTACGATGACGTACTCGTTCACCCAACCCAATTAGACTTGAGGCTCGTATGAAGGACTTACAAGTTGGGGTTCGTATGAATGACTCACAACTGAGGGGCGTATACGTGGGACCGTAGGATGACGTACCTGTTCACCCAGCACAATTGGGCTGGGGTTCGTATGAAGGACTTACAAGTTGGGGTTCGTATGAAGGACTCACAACTAGGGCTGCAAACGAGTCGAGCCGAGTCGAGCATTGGCCTTATCGAGCGGATTGAATTTTTTTTTTTGAGGTGCTCGAGCTCGATTTTTGGTGCTCGAGCTCCACTCGATCAAAACATACAAGAGCTCGAGCTCGACTCGAGCTCGACTCGAATTCATAATGCTCGAGCTCGGCTCGAGTTCGGCTCGAATTTTTTTAAGAAATTTTGTAAAATAACCATTAATTACATATATATACAAGGGTATTTTAGTAATTTCACATATCTCGATCCGCTCGCGAGCCGCTCGACAATGCAATATATGGGCTCGAGCTCGACTCGAGTTCGTGCTCGAGCCGCTCGAGCTCGACTCGAGATTGGTCAAACTCGAGCTCGAGTCGAGCTTTGACTCGAGCGCTCGCGAGCGGCTCGCGAGCTGCTCGACTCGTTTGCAGCCCTACTCACAACTGAGGGGGCGTATTATAATATAATACCAGTTAACTTGCACAGAGAAAATAGACTTAACTTATAAGTCTAGTGGACTACTCCTTCACCAACTGGAACATAACTTATAAGTCTAGTGGACTACTCCTTCACCAACTGGTTTTGGGATGGAACATCACTTGGATGCGCTTCATCTACGTGGGACCGCACCCGTTCTACCCGACCTACATGGTCCTTAATCTTGCTTGGCTAATTTCTTTTAAATACCCTTTGATGAAAAAAAAAAATACAAATTTTTATGAGCTTATTAAGCTCTAAAATGTTAAGCATAACCCGGAATATTTTATATTATGTTCTATTATGTTCGATATACTTTGTTTTATATTAAAGGAAAAATATATGTTTATTATTTTATATGTTTTTTATAATAATAATAATGTATCAAATTATAATATTATTTTAGTTGTTAGAACGTAGTCTCAAAGAAGAAGTAATATTGCAATTATGTAGCATATATAGAGAGATTAGGCGGAGATACTTTTTTGAAAATGTATATAATTTGAAATAGGGGTGATCAACGGTGCGGCTTGGTGAAAAAGTTCACCGAACTACAGAAAACTGAAATATCGAACATGTTAAAAAAATAATCGAACCACGCCGCAATTTATAAAAAACCAAATCATTTTTTTTTAATTGAAATAACTAAAGCGAACCACACCGAAATTCACGGTTCATCTTGATTTTCGGTTTTTCGTACTGAATCGAACAAAATCGGAAATCAAACTTATAAAAAACTACAAAAGAAACTCTTACATTTCAACGGAAAATTTCCGTTGGAATTCTGTATATTTTCCGTTGGAATAATTATTCCAACCGATATTCCTACGTATAAAAATTCGTAGGAAAAATAGTTGTTGGAATAGCTAAAAGCCAACGGAAAATCCTATGAAAATAAACTCCTACAACTATTCCAACGGAAAAAATCCGTTGAAATTCCTCAATCATCCAACACTTATTCCAACATAAAATCAAGTTTGTTGGAATATTCATTGGAATTTCCAATGGAAATTTTTGCCGTTGGAATTTTTCGTTGGAATTGAAGTGTTTTCTTGTAGTGAAAATTATAGCCTCACCACATCACAATATAAAAAAATAACCGAAACCGAACCAAAATTTGTTTACGTTAAAAAATAAAAAATAAACTGAACTGCAACAAATTGCACGATTCAATTCGGTTTTTCGATTCGACTCAATTTTGCTCACCCTAATCAAATATCACAATCTTAAAAACAATACAGGTAAAAGTATGGTACTAATATAGTAGAAGTACAACTTTGCTTATGGAACCAACCATCTGGTTTCATAGAAGAACTGAGTACAAGTATCTATATCCTTTAAGAAACTTTGGTTGTCCTAGAAGCGTTCGTGTTCAATATACATATACAAGTATCTATATTCTTCAAGAAACTTTGATTGTCCTACAAGCATTTGTGTTTAATATACACCCTATGCATAGGAAGTGTACCTAATTAGAGTATCACAACAAAAGATTTTTCATATTTCAATAGAAATTCAACGATAATATATTTCAACGAATATATCAAATGATGTTCGAATAGTATAGTTTACCTAATGAGTATCACTAGAAAAGAATTGTCATATTCCAATAGAAATCTAACGATAATATATTTCAACGAATATATAAAATGATATTCCAATAGTATAGTTTCCGTAAAATGATTTAAAAAAATTCAAACAAATTATGTTGTAAGCGTTTTTATTGGAATTTTAATTGGAATTTCTGATTCCAACGACCATTTTATAATGGTTTATAACCGCATGAATTCATAATATGTAATTTTCGTTGGATCGGAATATTTATTTCCACTCATATTTGAGCCGTCGAAATCATTAAAATACAAGGGAAATTCTAATAGAAAACTTATTTAATTTTAATGGAATATTTTTGTTGAGATTTTAGTTAAAATTCAATGAATTCAAATGAAAACGATTAATAGCATTGAAATATTCATTGAAATTCTTGTATTTTTGTTAGAATGGGGGAAGAGAGTGCGGTCCCACTAGATGAAGCGCACCATAAGAGGGTGAGTCTAGGTGCACCATAGTGAGGTTCCATCCCAAAACCAATTGATGATGGGAGGAGTAGCCTACTAGGCTTATATACTAGACTCATTTTCCCTATAGATTCAATGTGGGACAACTCACAAGTGATACTCCAACACGCCCTCTCACTTGTGAGTCCTTCATAAGCCCAAGCCCAGAGCAGGCCGGGTAGAGATAGAGACCCTGGCCAAAGTTGGCCAAGTAGAGATAGAAACCCAGGCAGGAGTCGACCTGGCTCTGATACCATGTTAGAATGGGGGAAGAGAGTGCGGTCCCACTAGATGAAGCGCACCATAAGAGGGTGAGTCTAGGTGCACCATAGTGAGGTTCCATCCCAAAACCAATTGATGATGGGAGGAGTAGCCCACTAGGCTTATATACTAGACTCATTTTCCCTATAGATTCAATGTGGGACAACTCACAACTGATACTCGAACAATTTTTTTAGTTCCACATAGTAGTTATAAACTATATACATTAATATAGGTCCTATATATATTTGACAATTAACCTTGTTGTGTAACTAATAGTTAGTTTAGGCCATATCCAATCTATTTAAATGTACACGTAAAAGAATATATGTTTAATTAATTTTTTACTTTTTCTCATTGGTTAATCCATTATCCATTAAATCTAATTTTAATTTAAATTCGACATCATTTTTAATTACCAATCGGTTCCGTGTCAACAAATCATATAAGTTCTTGTTTGATCCACAAGTATCATCAGTTACAAATCTGGAGCGTAGCAAGAAAAAATTTTAACCTCGGAATGCATATTATTGTAGCTATTATTGAACCGAGTAGACATGGTCATGAGCCATGTCGGCTCGCCGGTTCAGCCCGAACCGACACAAACCGGCCCGTTGACCATGTGTCTTGAAATGGCCTGTGATTTTGATAGTCCGGTTCATGTTCTGTAACACCCCGAGTTTTATTAATAAAGGAAAAATACTAGCTTTTAATATTAAGCT